TGATGAGGGTGATGATTCGGTAGTGGCGGTTGATGATTTTGTACTCGACGCGTCATCTATTTTTTGAGAAACAATCATATTAGCGCATGCATGATGGGTGAATTTGGAGAAGCAACTCAGCAATGGGTAGTGCAGTAGTACATGCTGGATTTGTTGGTATGAATCGTATGTCCAAAGTGCTCAACCCAATTCGTGGTTGAAGAGGTTCCTTGAATGGTGCCCATTCCTGGATTAGAACCATTCATCCTCCTTAGTATTGGCTATACCACCACGAATCTGAATTGTTTAGGCAAAACGAACACACATAAATCAGATTAAATCAGCAGGGATTCTCCGTTTCAACCCAAAATCTAAAGGATTTCCAAGAAAGATACATCTTATCTCAGATTTTCCAACAATGACTTTAGTCAATATAAGTCAGATATATCGGGATGGGTCATCCCATAAATTCCAGCAATTTTGATGTCCAAAAAGGGCCAGATCGCGATAGATTTTCCCGTCTTTGCCAGCCGCGTTCGCCAGCCACCACTTTCAACAATCAGAAAGATATCATATCCTTTTCTCCCCCATCACTTTTGTCTTCTCCATACCAGTTTCACTGATTTCAGATTTTCTTGTTAATCAGATTCTTTGATCATATTCTCTTAGTTAATATATAGGTCTGTTCCACCATCTTCCCCACTTAAGGGTGCAGATCGGAGGCTATTAATAGCTATATATAACTTTGGGATCACTCTGGGATTCGAACTTCCATAACGTGGGATATAAGCCTTCCAACGATGGTGAAACATCGCCATCCCCCAACCCCTGCCATGGCCCCAGCTCCTCTACGCGCGGAACCTGCTGGCGGTGGACTTCCACCACGCACGGGCCGTGCAGCTGGTGAGGAACTACGTGGCCTATCGGCACCAGCATCGGGGAGGCGGGCGGAGCACGATTCAAAGGTTGGTTCATTTGTTGTTGTTTGACTGTGTAATCTGATATGAAAGGGATTGAAAGGGCATATGACCATAATTAAATGATATTTCTATAGGTTCGAAGTTTTTTTTTTGGAGGTGGGGTCATGTTTTTAATATAAGGATATATTTAGTCATAATATATGTATATATGTACATATCTATTTGTTTATATATATATATACTTGGTGCTTCAGCCATGTTCAGCCCAGTAAGTCAGGAAGTCAGTTACTACCACAGTGAAGACAACGGGAGAAGTAGGGCAGGGGCTATGTCCAGTTACAGCTGAGGTGAACTAACCCGCTTACTATTTGCACTGAACCACCAAGTATATATGAAACACATATATCATACGTATATATGATACTGGTTGGTGGTTTCAAACATGAATTTTATTTTCCATAATATATGGGATAATCAGATAATCATGGATAATCCTTCCCATTGACTAATATTTTTCAAGATGGTTAAAGCCACCAACCAGGATATGTGAGTAGTGAGGTCTGAATTGTTTTTTCTCCTTAGCGTGGGCAGATATACGTGATTTTGAGCCATTGTTGGGCCGTTTGATGTTGAAAGGCACGCCAGTCAACAAGAAGGATCACGGCGGGCCGAAATGGTGTTAACACTCATCCAGGGTGATAAATTCCCATTGGCCGCCTGTAAACATAGATGTGGAAAAGAAACACCATTTGTACATCTTTGTTCCGAAGGGGAAAACCCCATGACTCTTCCACATTTGGAGGCATTTTTCCGGACTACGCGTGGTTGAAACTGGGCATTGCTGTCCTTCCCTTTGAGGAACCCGGCGGCTGAGGTCGTGAGGTAAAGCCAATAATAAATCCAGAGTCGGGGGATAGTTTTTTTTTTTTTAATAGGGTTTTATCACACATATTTATATATATATAATTCTGGCAAAATTGCATAGTATTCAGTACTTGCTTTGTTACATTATATTTTCCGGAACTTTTCAACAAAACCTGTGGCTGTGCAGGACGTGATGGGCCGCCCAGTGATGATAGCGCGTGCCAAGCATTTTGATTCGCAGACATCGGTTCCTCGGTATATGACATACCCGGTGAAAAATCACAAATTTTATTAGGTAAATCAACTATAAATTGGTAATTTTTCCATAGTTATGTTAGTTAACCGGAGGGTATTTGAAGACTGCCAAGAGGCTCTGAGTAGTGCATCATTTGCGATATTGGTAAAGTTTGAGCCCTGATCTAGTGGGGTTCATCATTAGGGGCTGGTTGTGAAGCATCCACACAAACAACTAAGAGTGACAGGCATGGAAGACCCACTGATGATAAAATATGATAAAATCCTATGGTCCGGTTAAAGGATACCTGAGAGAGATGTAAGTTGGCAATTCAATCGTCAGTTACAAACAATGAATTCCCAGTTCATCACCGGTTGTTTCATATATGGTAACCCCCCAGTCATAGATAGAAAAGTCGCAAAAGCCTTTAGATTCTGAGGAGGAAACCACCTTTTTTTTCACCTCCTGGCTGTCCTTTTTGTTGTTAAAGAATGATTTCGAAAAACCTGGACCTTGCCTCGTTGGTAAAACCTCAACCCCCGGGGCCCCCGGCCGAAAAAAAGGCTGAGACCTTCCGCTGCTTTTACCGTGGAATGGTGGATAGCATCATCGCCCACTTTCTGCTGAAACGCCGACCGGAGCTGGATGACCGGAATCCCTTGGAGCAATATGCGGCTTGGGTTGGCACTGCAGCACGGAAAGGGTTGGCAGAAATCCCGCACCAGGCGGGTATACAAGCGTGTCTACTAATAGTGACCCAGTTTTATACGCACTTAATCCACGCTCTCAATATGAAATACTGCAAATATTGGGACTATAACGGGAGAAACCATCTACCAACTGGTGCGGAATTTATTCCATACAGTATCTAGGTGAATTCTATGGTGTTTGACTTATCGCTAGACAAAGACTATCTATAATCCAAACTAGTATCAACTAATGTGAATTCTATGATGTGTGGAAATGAGCTATAACTATGGTTGACATCGGTGACTGATAAAGGATGATAAAGGTACGACACGAAACCAATTTGGTAAACCCCATGCCATAATCCATCCCCAATAGAGGGGTTTATGATGCGCCTAGGCCCTAGGAATGGGATGATATCTATTCTTACCCCCTTTTATGGTTAGTAAATGGGACTGTTTATGGCATTGGGTTTGCCACACTAGGCGAGTTCAAAGGTGTATGGTGGCTAATATCTATGGTTGAAATTGGTAACTGATAAGCAAAACTAGGTGAATTCTACGGTTCATAGTGGACATATCAAGCCTATGGTGTTTATAAATCAAGAAATCGACCTCGAAACACCTTGTGACCAGCGGAACCTCAAAACATGAACCACTTGCTCTCCACCATGCGTGGGAGGGAACTGTGGATCATGTTTGGTTCTTGGTTTCAAACAATCCTAAACGACTTTGATCCGAATGACCTCCTTGCGCTTCAGCCCTGAGTGCTGATATCCCCAGTTTTGGGTCTCAACACTCCATGTTTCTGTTTCAATCCTTATTTTCAGGGCTGCTCCAACCCATTAAAGGTAGATGATTCAGTAGATGATAGCAACTTTTGGGGTGGAATTTGGCCACCTGACCAATCTATCTACCCCATGTTCGCCGCTCGTATGTGGGGTGTTGAGAGCAACCTTGATTCATATCATCAACCATCATGGTGATTGAGGGCGGGCATGTTGATTATATCGAAAATATATCCATGAGATATCCCTATACCCATACATTTCCCATGCGTTCCCCCCTTGGTTGTGCATCACACTTAGTAAATGGTTTAAAACCCATATATCACCCATATAATCTGTCAAAGGGAACACAGCGGTAGCACATGTAACAATGAACAATGTTACGGCCATCATGGCTCAAGCGCCCGCAAGAGGAAAACGGCCGCGCGCTGACTGCAATGCCTGAGTGAGGTTCGGTAATAACTAGCACACAAGGTACTACTATTCGACTACATCCAGAACAAGGATTCATTTGTTCACAGGTTATCAGCCGTGAGGCTCACTTCTCCCGCCGGGAGAGTGGTACCTGCGTGCTGGTAGCCGGACCTTCTGAGCAATTGATTGAGGACGCAAAGGACCAATCAGCTCACCATCGCAAAGATGCAAGGCGGCAGCGGAGATTCGCGCACCACGCAGTTTACCTTCAATGAGAACGCTGCTATGCCGGTCGAGGAGGTGAATCAATCTTCCCCTGGCGACACGGCAGACAGTGGCGGGATACGCTCTACCCGAACTACACAGTCCGGATGGCAAGTCACATCAAACAGACGAAGAATATCCACCCAAAGTACACCTAGATCTTCTCGAAACAGTGCTCGGAGTGATGTTGTCCGCCAAGGGCATCGACCATCTCGAGGACGTACTACTCCAAGGGACAGATCCACCAGGGCCGTGACCGACCGAATTGGCGAGAGGACCGGGGATAGTCGTGTTAAGAGGAGATCAACGGATACTTCTGTGGCTAGTGAACCTATTGCCATGATAGAGGAACTACGGGCACAATGTCAATCCCTACGTAATCAGCTGAACAACATGGAAGCATACGCTGCATCCAGGGATCAACTGATTCATGACATCGAGATCAGGTTCACTGAGTATCTTCGGGAACACAATCAGAATGTATTTGATGAGGTCAATGCACTCAATCATAGATTGTCATGTTCCGCAAATGAGGTTGCAGAATATCAAGCAGAACTAATGGTAGCATCTCAGGAAGATGAAGGTGCAACAATACGCATCCAAGACCTTGAACGCCGAGGTGCCCTAATGGAACATGGTGCACGACGGATCCATCAACGTGGTATGGAGATCCAGGAGGAGTACAAGGATGAAGTACATCACCTTCAAGGACTACTGGGTAATACGGAGGCAAGACTACAACAACTTCATCAAACCAATGTCTTAACCACCGATATTGCCAATCGACTATACACTGAAGGTCAAGAAATGCAAAATGATTTCCAGAACTCAATCGTGGAATATCGTAATCGATCTGAAATGGCATCCTCCTCTAGTAATCAACTTGAAGTGATTAGCCAGCAACAATCAATTGCAGTTCATGAATTATCTGAGCGAAATCAGCTATTGAGTGAAGCCTTGATTCAGTCTCGTAAACAGGCCGAGCTGTATGAGAGCAGTATTGATGAGATCACTAGAGAATCTAGGAAGAAGGTGTTCGAGGCAAATCAGGCCAAATTGGAAAGTGATCTGAAGCATCGAAACACTGAACATGATACCGTCAAAAGAATTGCATCATATAGGAACCAATTGGCCGAAGCAATATCTCACCTGAGGCTTGAATCACAGGCTAGTGCAAACTCGATCGCGAGGGCAGAGCACTATGAAGAGCTCTATGCCAACGAGCAGAAGATGAACTGCGAATTGAAGGATGAGATCAAGTTGCAGAACACGAAGTTACGAAGATCGTTGACTCAGGGTTCTACGACCGACGGTCGTGGCCCCGAAGAGATGCTTGTTGAAGATCTACGTAATCAAGCTAAGATCGCTCAAATCAGGGTTCAGGATCTAGATCATGAAGTTCATGAATGCTTACAAGAGAACTTGTTGTTAAAAGAAAGGCTGGCTGAAGTTGCGGATGTAGGGGCGTCGTCCCTCACCAATGCTGAGGTTCGAACTCTAAGATCTGAACTAGAGAGTGAGCGAAAATTAAAATTGGCGAGTGGTGTTCAACAATATGAGAGATCATGCATGTTCATGGGGGAAATCCAGGATAGGGATGAAAAGATTGGCATCAAGAATTCTGAGATTGTTGACATGAAACGTCACTTAGATGAACTGAGAAAGAGTCTCAAGGATTCTGAAACATCTATGGCTAGGATCAGTCCTGACACACTTCCCTATTCGGCAGGCATTCCCAACTCTGATCTCGCATCCAGACTGGTCATCGACAAACTGGAGAATGACGTGAGTGAGGCTAACTGTGAAAACGCTATTCTGAAATCTTGGGTCTCGCAGATCGACAAGGAGTTGACTTATGAGACAAATGTAGCTCATTCCTATCGTGGGCATGCTTTACCTCCTCAACAACCACAGCATTCTCAATCAAGCAAAAGAATCGCTGATCTACTGAAAGAGGTTGACAACAAGATCGCTGGCGGAACTGAGAGGGAATACTACAAGCCACCGAGTGGATGGGGCGGTCCGCCTGACCCTGATGGACCTCCGGACCCTTTCGGGCCTAATGGTCCAGGACCACCTCCTGAACCTCCTGGTTTGCCTTCGGTTCGAGGATCACAACGCGATTCAGCAGATGATGTCTCCACAGCGGCTTACACTGCGGAAGAAGTACCAAGAATGTCAAGACGAGAGGCTGACAAAGTCTATGTTAGTCCATGGCCAAAGCAACAGAATCTTGGGGTTTGGCAATCAGATCTCATCAAGAGTGTTGTCCTTTCGGCAAATGACGGGGATAAAGCCGCATGGGAGGCATGGCTACAGCCGGCTATTCGACCTAATCCTGACATCGAGCTGTTGAATGACAGTGGGGGGCAACGGGATCAGTCCATCGACGCCAAGTTGTCAATCGCATTGTCAAACGTGATAGCCCAAGCCGGTGATGTTGCTCGTCATGTAGCGATCAAATTGAGATTGAGAACACAAAGTCATAGCCGGAGAGGAACCTACGTCATGGGACGGGAAATCTTGGCTTTGATTCTGGAGCACTTCAGAACCCCAGGTCAACGAGAAACATCCTTCACCATGGAGCACATCGTATCGATGAAGTATCTCGGTGACTCGAACCTAGAAGTGTTCTACGAGAAATGGATGGAGATGGTATCAAACATGATGCCGGATGACGTACCTCCTGATGATTGGCTTCGTGATGCTCTATACAAGAAGATTCGAAATTCGAGTCTTATGATGTTTGACATCAAGCAGTACGAGTCATGGATGGAAGGAGACCAAAGACGAAATTATCGCTACCTGTTGGATGTCATCGAAAGGCATATCTCCAGAATCAGAGAGGACAAGCATGTGGCAGCTAGAGAGAAGTATGCGAGAGACTTTGCAGGCGGCGGCAAACCCTCAGCTCCTGCTCCGAACCCAACTGCTGCTGAACCGGATGCAAATCCAAAAGCGAAGCCTAAAGCTACTCCCAAGGAGAAGGCAGCGCCCAAGGCGAAGGCCAAGGCCGATGCAGCTCCAGTTCTACCATCACCTCAGCCTAAACAGCATGCAAAAGGAAAAGGAAAAGGTCAAGGGAAAGGGAAGGACCGATCAAACGGCCGAAGTACCAGCCCCAGATCCAAGAAGAAGATCCCATGCCATTTCCATTTCATCAAGAAAGCATGCAGAAAAGGCAAGGATTGTGAATACAGTCACGACCAAAAGGTATTTGATGCGAACAAGAATGCAAAAGGCAACGGTCGGAAGCCAGGAACTCCAAGAAGTCAGTCTCCGGCAAACAAGACCAAGAAGATTGATGAACCATGCTGGCATTGGGCTAAGGGCAAGTGTCGGTATGGAGACAAATGTAACAAACGCCACGATCCTCATCTATTCAACACTGCTCCAAACACTGAAGCACCAAGCTCAAAGGCTACTCCTGCACTTATCCATGATTGGAGTGATGATGAAGGGACGTTCCATAAGGTTGCATCGAACGTGATCAAGAAGAAGATCAGATTTGATGAGTCTAAAACTCAAGTTCAAACTTACGTGAAGAAGGACTTCGTGAAGTGCAGCCGGAAATCCCAAACCATCCCCAAAGGTCATGGTAAAGTTGGCAAGCCCACTGATCAGATAAGGAAAGATGAGCAATGGTCTTATTCATGCAGGTTAGCTTCGAGCCGAGGGAAAGCAATGGCTATTCTGATCGATAAGAAGGGTGAACACAGT